ACATGATATGTATATATATATATATATATATATATATATAACGAATATAAGTAATTTTGTCTCCGATATATGGAAGCCCGTTTCCGCCACTAAATAAAAATTGTAAAAAGTAATTGCGACTTTTTATCTCACAATTCTGAATGTTTTTCTCGCAATTGCAAATTTACATCTCGCAATTCCAACTTTTTTCTCAGAATTGCAAGATATAAACTCTCAATTGCATGTTTTATATATGCAATTGCCAGTTATGTCGCGATTCTGACTTTTTGTTCTAAAAATTGCTAATTTATGCAATTCTAAAAAACAAACTCAGAATTGCAAGAAAAAATGGTCAGACTTGCGAGTTTAGTTTGTAACTCAATTGTGACATTATATCTCGCAATTCTGAGAAAAAAAAAAACTTGGAATTGCGAGATATAATGTCACAATTGCGTTACAAAGTAAACTTTTTTTTTTCTTGCAATTGTGAGTTTACATCTCGCATTTCTGAGTTTGTTTTTTAGAATTGCATGATATAAACTCACAGTTCTGACTTTTTTCCTCACAACTGAGAGTTTATATCTCACAATTCTGAATTGTTCTCATAATTCTGACTTCTTTTCTCAGAATTGAGATATATAAAGTCCAATTCTGAGGAAAAGACTGACCTTTTTTCCTCAGAATTGCGAGTTTATATCTCACAATTCTGACTTTATAACTCGCAAATTTCTTGTTATAAAGTCAGAATGTAACAGCGTCACAGTTGAAGATCACAAGAGCAAAAATCCACGTCAAGTTCACCATTTAGGACCTCATCTCTCGTATCTCGCTTAAGTTCTCAACTTCCTCTTTTTCTCTTTCTTTGGCTGCTGTCTGATCCATATATGTAATTCTGTCCTCATCTGTTTCATTGTTTTTGAAAAGCTGAAAAAAAAAAAAGAGATGTAGCCGTCTTAGACTCTGGTTCGCTCTTGAATGCCGTCCATCTCTCTCTGTCTCTCAGCTGGAGGTGGGCTTCGTGTTGATGTTGTAAGGTTTTCCACTGGTGTGAGTGTGTACAGAAAGGTCGTCTTTTGTTTCACAAGCTCATCCCCGTGGCCCTCGTGAAATTTAAGAGTTGGGGAGTCCAGACTGCCTGACCTTCCTGCTGGCGTCAGGGTTCCTCTGCAAAAAGACCAGAGGAATATCAAACAAATAGCTTCATCATCATCATCATCTCCAAAATCACCACAAAAGTCAGAGCTCTGAAACTTTTCCTGGTCCATTTTTTTTTTCCTGGGAAGATTCATGGTTTGAGTGTGTGGGCGTCCTTTTCAAAATATATTCCACTTTTTAGATGCTTTTCTACGCTAAACCTTGGCAGAGCGAGTTGAAAGCGACAAATGAAGGTAATTAGATTTTCTGACTGAAGGAGGTAGGTGAAGAACCACAATGCAGGTTTAATGTTCTTATGATTGGAATGCATCCCGAGCTGTTCCCACTGCTCCACCAAACCAACATCCGGCTCTGTTTTGGCCTGGAGAATGCTATCGTCACTCTCTTTGCCTAAACTTGACGTAAAACAGGTACTTCCTCCTGTCAGCGTTCACTCATCAGCAGTTATCAGCGCAGCCGTTCTGAGAGCGAGCCTTTCCAGTCACAACTGTCCGGATTTGGCTTCAACCTGCAAGAGCATCATCTGCGTTTGCTGCTGTGGTGTACATTTCTGATTGTTCGGCAGCGGTCAGTCTCTCTGGAGAGGAAATGCTAATGTTTCTGTAAATTCATCCCACGGGTAATGTTAAATTCAAACCTGTTTGGCGCTTCTATGTTGTTTTGTTTTGTTGGACACTTTCCTGCTCTGAATCAAAGATGCATTCAAATGATTTAATATTATTTTAGAATGTTTTTATAATATTGCTACCCAGGCTCATTGGAAATACGCGCCTCTACTCTCTTAAAAATAAAGGTGCTTCAAAAGCTTCTTCAAGCGATGCCATACTTCTGCAAAACTCAAAATGAATGGCTGCAGGTTCTCATTGAAATGAACACTAGAGGCAGTAAAACTTTTATTCCTTTTCACGCAAAGTATGATTTACGGGGCAGAGTTTTGATTAAGAAAGCCTAATTTCTTGCACAATATCACATGTCTTCAGAATAATTGTAAGATGCTGCGAGATTTGAAAACTGGTACTTTTGAACGTTAGCGTCACATATCCAGCTTCATATGTATGGGTTTTCTAATGCAGTAGGTTTGCTAAAATAGCTCAGTTGCATCAGTGAATGCATTTTTATATCACTCTTGCATTCGTGGATCGTCTACAGAATCAGTTCGTCAGTATTATCTTCTGCTGGGTTCCAGGCCACTTTTAGGAAATGAGCGATCTGATGCAGCTGCAAAGAAGGCTTTTAATCAGGAAGAAAATTAATGTCAAATTCGTCCATCAGATATCAGACCTATTATTAATCGTTATATAATCAATAAGTGGCAAGAAGAGATACAAATAATAAATTACATGAAATCCACCCGGAAATCTCAAACAGATTTTTAATCTTACCTAAAACCAGATTTGATCAAGTGGCCTTTACCAGATGTCGTATTGTTCATACAAGACTGACTCGTGCATTTTTGCTTAAAGGTGAAGGCCCAACTCTATGCATGTTCTGCAAGACCCCCCTTTCTATGAAACATATTCATTTGGACTGTCCTGGTTTTAATAGAAAGTAGTAGAAAGCTCTTTTATGAAGTTAGTTTACTTAAGGGCTTATTTAGTAAGATTTTGCCTGAAAAGGTTTTAGAATTTTTATCATATGTTAATTAAAAAAAATCTTGTATAATATGTGACCCTGGAGCACAAAACCTTAAGTCTTAAGTCGCTGGGTTATATTTGAAGCAATAGTCAACAATACATTGTATGGGTCAAAATTATATTCTTTTATACCAAAAATCATTAGGATATTAAGTAAAGATCATGTTCCATGAAGATATTTTGTAAATTTCCTACCGTAAATATATCAAAACGTAATTTTTGATTAGTAATATGCATTGCTAAGAACTTCACTTGGACAACTTTAAAGGCGGGTTTTGTGGTCCACGGTCACATATTACTTCCTGTGTTTGTTTGCTGAGTTTTTATTGTATTTATGTAATATTTGTATTTTTGTAATTGAGTCTTTGCCATTAAAATAGCCTCAGATGCTGACATGGCATTAAATAAAATTATACTATTACTACTTTTGCATTCGTTAACGATATTGGGTAGTGTTATACACCGCAATACATACCTGAAGCAATGTAAACGCAGAAATATGTGCCTGTAGCAACGTAAAAAAAAAAACTGGCCATAGTCATGTATTGAATGCACGATTTAGCACCATTTACTGAACATTTCACTTTGAAACTGCCGTGAAACGTGCAGTAAGATACATCATATTGTGTTGCAGAAACGTCGCCACAAGCACATATTTCCAATGAGCCTGGGTTGTAATATTTGCTAGTGGTGTAATGTAGTTGCAGTAGGTTTAATAACATCTATCCATTTAGTATAACCTTTATTCTGTGGCAAAAGAAAGTTAGTTTAGTGGGAAGCTGATCTATTATCATTTTGTTTTGGTAATTTATGCATACATAGCACGTGTACTTTCTCAACTCATCGATGAAATAGTTTTGGCATCAGGTCTAACAAAAAATGAAACTCCCCCACAGCATGATGAATTTAGGTTTCATTTCAGCAGAATGAAGTTTCAATCTCTGTGGCCTTCCTTAATTTCCTGGGCTGCCCGTTATACAAACACACAGTTTGGACCTTTTTCCTGGCTTTCCATCCCTCTCCATCTTTGTCTTTGTAATAGATGTCCAGCCTTCCTTTTTGCACCAGACCGTGTCCATCTGACTGCAGGCCGTTCGTACCAGCCGTGTCGTTTGGAAAGCCTGCAAATATGATTTGCTCTGTGAGAGTGGAGACTTGAAAGCTTTCTGCAGAGTCTCTTCCACATGCAGACAGTTTCTCTATACGTCTATAAACTGGCATGAGAAGATTACAAGTGCCAAGCATTTCACAGAAAACTAAGCCATCAGAGCTGTGAATGGAGCTTGTAGCTCTGCTCTCAGTACTTAAAGACATTAAGAGAAGATCTTAGAAATGACTTTCAGAGCATTAATAGAGTGCCATTTCAAATTAAATGACCATACAAAATCAGATATATTCACAGTAGAGAAGAGAGGGGTAAGACGGGCCAGTTTTTTATGTAAAAGAATAGTTTGCCCAAAAATGAAACTTCTGTCATCATTTATTCACCCTCATATCGTTACAAACCCATAAGACTTCCGTTCATCTTTGAAAAATGAACAAATTAAGACATTTTCAACAAATATTTTTCAAGATATTTTTAAAGGGGTCATATGATGCGATTTCAATTTTTCCTTTCTCTTTGGAGTGTTACAAGCTCTTGGTGTATAAAGAAGATCTGTGAATTTGCAAAGACTAAAGTCTCAAATCCAAAGAGATATTCTTTATAAAAGTTAAGAGTCAGCCACGCCTACCTAAAACGGCTCGTTCTAACACACCCCCACATACCTACGTCACGATCTCGGAAGATTTGCATAACGCTTCCCAAATGTTCACGCAAAGAGAGAAGGCATAACTTTTATTCTCGCTGTAGTATTGTTGCCGCTGCCATGTCGTGAAGGCACTGTGTGATTCGTTGTGAAAGCGAAACTACTTTGTTTGGCCTTCCAAAAGAGGACGATATCCGCTTCGTCATGCCTAGAGCTGATCTCTACGCGTTTCAGGAAGTCGGGGCATAGAGGAGAAACAATAATGTAAAGTTTGTGGAAAATAATGTGTTTTTTGAACCTTAAACCGCATAAACACATTTCATTACACCAAATACACAAAATAATGTTATTTTTAGCAACATCATATGACCCCTTTAATAGACTAAAATTCTAAAATGATTCAGTTAAATTGAGTTATAACTCAATAGTGTTCATACCTCTTTAAATGGCTTCAATATAGGTGCTAACTTTATGTTAGTAGTTTGTCGTGTAGCCAACTACGTTTCAAAAGAGTTAGAAGCTACAAACTTCTAATAATTTAAAGTAGTTAAACTAAATTATTAGACGCTTGTAGCTCGGAAAGATAGTGTTTCAAAGTACTTCAACACTGGTTTTACGTCAAGTACTGTGACACATGTGGCGCCTTGTTTTTGTCATACTGGATGAAGTAGCAGAGAAAATTTGACGGTTTTATTATGGAGCGTTTGTAATTTTCTGAGGAAACTGACTGGATAGAGTTCACAGTAATTTGTACCTCCTGATTCCCTGTGAGAAATCGGACTGAAATCTTCAGACGGACTGAAATGTGAACATTTTTTAGCCGAATTGTGTTTAGCAGCGGAGTCACTCAAAACCGCTCAGAAGTTTAATTACATTTCCATATGTCCGTGTGTGTGTGTGTGTCGTTCTCTGTGAATTGGGTTAAGGATATTTTCAAGGTCACACACCAAGAACAGGCAACTAAATCCCACCCAAGAGTTCAACAATCACCCTCAACGGTCCATTAAAACATCTCAGATGTGTTCTGGTCATTACGTTCATACACAGAGCGCTCGATTTTGGTCTGGGCTGTCAGTGTGTTGTACTTTGTGGTTACTAAACACAACTGTGACACTGAAAGTTCACCGTTTGAAAGTTATTGTTTTGAGCCCTTAAAGGGCCCTCATGTCATTTCAAACCTATCTCAATGTTTTAGTTTGTCAATACAATGGAATTAAATGGTAACCAAAATTGGTGGGTTACCAACATTCTTTGAAATATCTTCTTTTGTGTTTCACAAAAGAAAGAAAGCAATACATGTTTGAAGCGACATGAGCATGACATATTAAATAATACCAGAAAATTCATTTTTCAGTTTCACAGTATTTTGTATTTTTTGTACTTAGATCTTATGGAATTTTGTGTATTTTCAGGTTCATGAGATATTTGACTGTACTGACTGTGATAAAAAGTTCATCTCCACGAATCAGTTGAAGCGACACATGATCACACACTCTGGTAAAGAATATGCACTCACATACAAATAATAAAAAAAAGACCCTTATGACTGGTTTTGTGGTCACATTATGGAAGATTAATGTATCGTGAATGGTGTTTCATCTTATTTTTGATTCATTAATGAAACACTTCTCTGACCTGTTTTTCTGTCTGCAGACTCATTCGGAGGAGAGGCCTTTCCAGTGTGAGGAGTGTAAGGCCCTGTTCCGCACCCCGTTCTCCTTACAGCGCCACCTCCTCATTCATACCAGTAAGTGTGTGTACACACTCTGGTAAAGAATATGCACTCACATACAAATAATTCCAACTGTAAAAACTAGTATACTAAGATGGTGTTGGTTTGTTATTTGTAACGTGTGTGTGTGTAGAAAAGCGTCCGTACACCTGTGACATCTGCAGCCGAAGCTTTAAGCGTCTGGATCAGGCCACTGCTCACAAGATCATCCACAGTGAGGATAAACCGTACAAGTGTAAGCTGTGCTGGAAGGAGTTCGCCCACCGCAACGTCTACAAGAACCACAAAAAGGTACCGATCAGTGTGTGTGTGTGTGTGTGTGTTTGTACAGGAAAGACAGATGGTTGGATGGACAGGGAGACTGACAGATTTTTGGCCAAATAAACTGCTGGCATCTTATCTTAATGGAGATCTGGAGCCCAATCAGCCACTGTGGAGCCTAATCAAAACCTTCAGCCTAACCATGACCTGTAATGACCCTGTGCGCGACCCCTGACCTTTACACCCTGCAGATAGCATTAACCCCAAAACCCCACACAGCTCTGAACAGAGACAGTGTGTGAAATAGAGAAAAGAGCACAGAAAGCAACATTCAGATCTAGAAGGATAATATTTACTTTCTTAACAAATGACTCCAATCTTTTGTTAAGAAAGTAAATATGAAAACTTTTAAAATATAATAATATTCTCCGCTTTTACTTTTTTGCTTTATGCTGATTTGACCAAGGAAACGTAACATTCACTTCATTTTGATGTTTTGAACTAAATATGAATGGTATTTTGCTTGTACAATTTTGCTGATGCCAGGATCAGGAGTTTTCAAAGTTTTTGATGCCATTGTCTCTCAGATATGATGAGCACCTAGTATGGCACCCCTTCCTAAAATATAAGCACTGCTTTATATTTTCATATATACAACTCTTTATAATACTATTTGTAATTAGAACTATTTATAAAATGTATATTAATATTATTTATTTATATTTTACAATTATAATTATAACAACTATTTATAATACTATATATAAAGTGTGATATTATAATCAACAAAATGTAAATGTAAAATTAAATGATTGTTTCTAATCAAATTTGATTTAAAAAAAAAAAACCCGTCCAGACAGACATGCGCCTCTCCATCGGCCCCCAGCGCCCCCTGAACCCTGGGCTCTGTGTCTGTGGGTGCAGGGGCTCATGGAGCCGACTGGTCCGGGCAGGATGGACCTCAGTGCTGCTCTGCCCAGTCTAGACTGATCACACTGAGATTATTGAGCTCGAGGAATTTCCTGCTGTCCTCCCCAGAGACTCTCTCTCACACACACACACATATATCAGTGAGACCTACTGGGCTAAAACTCTTTTATGTATCTGTAGGCCGGGGTTAGGCAGAGAGAAACAAAGTGTTGTGTGGGTTTAGATTTGTGCGTGGTTACTCTGATGTGTGCTGTGTTTACAGTGTGTGTGTGTGTGTGTGTGTGTGATCACTTACGGCCCACTGTGACATAATCTGATCCATCTGTGTCAATATTTGGTTATGAAATAAAGCTGTTTTGTGACCATCTATTAAACACACATTATCGTTTTTAAAAGGCCCGAGTGGCTCAGTAGGGTGAGTCCTCCACAAATATTTCACAAACACCCCCCTGTGTATGTGTGTGTGTGTTTATAGTTTAGGTCTTCATGAGGGCCTTTTGGCGTAGCATCTTTTACACTTAATCAAATATCAATATTTACATTGCAGAAGCTATTGACAAATCAACCAATCTTTTGTTATTATTGGCATTATGCTTGACCCATTAACAGAAGTGTTATCTCTCCCACTTCTAAAATATAATTCCAAAATATATAATATATTTTGTAAATGTGTTTACATAAATATGGCAAAAATTTTATTTTAACTATTCACATTGCAACTGCTATAATTAAATTGTTTAACTTGCATCACATATCTACTACAGTTCAAAGATTTGGGGTCAGCAGCACAATTGTTTTTAACACTGATAATAATCAGAAATGTTTCTTGAGCTGCAAATCAGCATATTAGAAAGATTTCTGGAGGATCATGTTTTTACTTGCCTTGCCAAACTTTGCACTGGCCCTTCCACACATTCACACAAAAAATAATTATATGAAAAAAATAAAAAAATGTTTTCAGTGGGTTTTTTTTGACTCGTGTAACCTTTTTAATAAATAAGGTTATGACACCTATTTTGTAGATACAAGTGAAATTTTAGAATTCTCAGTTCCATTTTTGATACCACAGTCGAATTGCCGTCAACTGTCCCGACTCCGAGCATCTTTCATGCTGGCCCCAGGCCATCGGGCAGTCCTTATTGTTGAGCACTGATTATGTTCAACAATTCAGTAATATCTAAAAGGGATAGTCCATCGATTGAAAGTCCACACAATGAAAGTCCACTCGACCATCTTGCTTGACTTGTGAGAACAAACCTCACCTGTTCTCGCACGTCAGACAACTATGTTTGAGCTTCTGTTTACCATATTTGATGTGCTTTATGTATGTGTTCATCTGTGTTTATATGCGTAAATTAAATCTGCTCATCATATAAAGTTATGATGCCTCTTAAGAAGATTTTTTATTAAACTGCTTCATTTGTATGCATTCAAGATTTTTGAAGTGTCAAAATTTTGGGTTAGTGGACTTCCGAAATCTGTCAGGTTCCAAATTAAAAATCTGAATTTGTGCTTTGAAGATGAATGAAAGTCTTACAGGTTTGGAGCAATGTGAGGGTGAGTAAATGACGACAGAATAACTTTTTTTTTTTTGGTGAAATAACCCTTTAAGTGCACAATAAGTGTCAAAACACTTTTCATATCTATATCGTAATCTGACCCACACAGAATCTGACACAGATCTCTGCAGAAACAATTTGAAACTCTATTCATAGTTCTACATATGCCCTGCCCTGTTATTCAATATTTTTGGGCTAATTCGACAATGCTGTCATCTACCAATAAGAGTGTAAATGTGTGGTCACATTTACTGTTGTTCGATGAATTTTCACAGTCATTTCAATAGGAATACTTGCATGAGGGCAGAAGATTTCCACACACAGATTTTGCAACGGGTTCAATATAGAAAGCTGCTTGGTTTGAAAGTGACTTCTGTTTGAGTTGTGCTTCATATATCGTTACATTATTGACAGTAGACAATGATACTTTTTTGCCTACGGAATTTAAACAAAACTGCACCTAAATACTATCAGCTCTGTGCAACATTTTAAAACATTTAAATAATGTCCACTGAGTTCCAGATATTCCCCTCAAATCAGTCTGGAGATTTCCATTTTATTTATTTTATTTTAAAATTCTGATTGGTTAATAATGATATCCTGTCTTCAGAGACCACCTATTTATAACATAGCTGAGCTAGTTTTACATCTCTTTTTAATCGCTCTGCGCTGATTTTTCACATAATACAATAACTCAATTGTATGCTCATTTATTTATTTTGCAAGTAGCTATGTAATAAGCATAATGTACAATCAGTCAGTCAATATCACAAAAAGAGCAGAGCAATCAAGACTCCTCCACTTAAATTTTGGGGTGAAAAATTACATTTTATGAGATTTTTTGTTTTTTTTTTCCTCTAATTTTTTTACCGTCCCCCCACATCCCCATTTATGATCCACTGTTTTGAAAACCGCTGTTCTAGGTCTTTGCCCGGTGGTTTCTAGGGTGTTCTGGGTGGTTAATTGGTGGTTAATACAACCCAAGTCAATATAGTCCACCAGAGAAAATCTGAAGTCTGAAAAAGTAACACCAACCTCAACAAGCCACTGAAATATGTGACCCTGGAGCACAAAACCAGTCTTAAGTCGCTGGGTATATTTGTAGCAATAGCCAAAAATACATTGTATGGGTCAAAATTATTGATGGAGGATCATGTGACACTGAAGACTGGAGAAATGATGCTGAAAATTCAACTTTGATCACAGGAATAAATTACATTTTAACAGATATTCACACAGAAAACAGCTATTTTATACTGTAATAATATTTCACAATATTACTGTTTTTACTGTATTTTTGATCAAATAAATGCAGCATTGGTGAGCTGAAGAGACTTCTTTCAAAAACATAAAAAATGGTAAAATAAAAAAAAAAGATTAATAAAAACTGTAACAAATATATTGCTCATTATTAATGTTAGTTAATGCATTGACCAAAGTTAACTAATAGGACCTTATTGTAAAGTGTTACCAAAAAAACTCATACTATTCCAAACTTTTAGTGTTTTCAGTCAGGAGACTTTTCTGTTCGCCTGCCATATTTAAGACCATCAGCAGGGCAAAGTAAGCAAACTCACATTTAGATCTGACTCAATTCTGCCCATGTTACATAGCCCAGTTAATGGAAAGATGCGGAGAGAAATGCTGCTCAAAGAGACACAGTCACAGTCAATGGGAACATATTTGATGTGGAGTGAGATCTTGGACCAGCTGCCAGAAATGTTTTGATGCAGAATGCTATCGTGATCGTAGCTGCTCAGTACCAGGAGAGCACCTCAATCACCTTCAGAGGGAATTCAGAGATCAACGAAGATCTAAAATGACATCTTACAAGTGGAGTTTCAGTACACACCAACACACCAACGAACTCTGCAATAGTGGATTGTGGACTAGAATCAGTTGCTCACCGGACAAGACCTGCTTACGTGATGGAGCTACAGAACGGCATAGCCAGTTTCTTATAAGAAGACTCTTGGATATGTGTCCAAATACCAGCAAAACCACCTCAAGAATAAAGAGAGTCACTGGTACGGAAAAAAGGAAGATTAACATCTCATGTGATGACAAGTCTGGCATAGCCGTCCTGCGTGCCCATTCATTTAAAGACCCTGTTCTTAGTCCATGTTTTTATAACCCAGCATTCAGTCTGTTCTGCTGGTGATTAGATGCAGTGACATGTTGGACTCTATTCAACCATTTATAGACCAGAACTAGAGTTTTGGCACAGCCTCTGCGTGTTTGTTACAGAAGGCATTGTTTGAGCAGCTATAGAGGTTTTCACAGCAAATATTTAAAGGGGTCATATGATGTTGCTAAAAAGAACATTATTTTGTGTATTTGGTGTAATGAAATGTGTTTATGCGGTTTAAGGTTCAAAAAACACATTATTTTTCACATACTGTACATTACTGTTGCTCCTCTATGCCCCGCCTTTCTGAAACACACCACTCCAGTCCATCAATTAACGACTTGAGAAGTAAAAAAAAAAAATGTTTGTAATCTATTGTTAAGACGTTTATAACTTCAAACCATTGCTTCCAG